GTTCAAATGCAAATCTTTATTAGAATAAATCCTATTGGTGCAACTGTGTGTGTCCAATGCCACCAACACTGCAGCTCACGTGTTCTGAATGCCTGCTATGTGCTGACGTGGCTTTCAGAGAAACCCAAGTACATGCATGCCTCTTTTAGTGGTAATTCCCTTTTCAGCACTTCTCAGATACTGCTGATTTGATTCACTGAAGATTTGTGGGGACCCTGTCTCGAGCAAGTCTATCAAAGGCACCCGACAACAGCAAGTGTTAGGTTCGTGTGTCTCTGTGTCCCATTTTCGTCATTGTTACAAGATTTCAAACTTTTAATGCTATTAACCAACAAATAGAAAAACAAAAAAATCCCCAGACAAAACCCTAACCCATCGCGATTGAGTTGGCTCTGGCTGATAGTGACCCTATGTAGATGTTCTGAGTTTGTAAATGTTTATGGGAGAGGAAAACCTCCTGTTTCTTCTGAGGAGAGGCTGGTAGAGAAGAACTACTGACCCGCGGTGAGCAGCCCAACGCATAACCAGCTCAGACTACAGTATAGCGTAAACATCATTCTCATATGAACTGGGAAACCATACATTTGCATGACTTGCTTGATGGCAATATTTTCTTTATAGTTGTTATGTTTGTTAGGTGCCATCAAGTTGGTACCGACCCATAGCGAGCGACCTTATGCACAGCAGAATGAAACACTGCCCGATCCTGGGCCAACCTCACTATTGTTGCCATGCTAGAGTCCATCGATGCTGCCACTTGGTCAATCCATCTCGCTGGGGGTCTTCCTCTTTTTCTCTGACCTTCCACCTTACCAAACATGATATCCTTCTTCAGTGACTGGTCCCTCCTGACAATATGTCTAAAGTATGAGAGACGAAGTTTGGCCATTTTGGCCTCTAAGGAGCACTCTTGGAATCGAACCCACAATAAGCCCAAGGTCTGTCTGCACAACCCAGTCCCTTGCAACCAAAGGTTTCTGGCTCCTTACAGAATTGGTACCAGGAGCGGGCTGGTTGAGAAAAGACCTTCAAGGAAATGTGAGTAGGAAGTAACTTTTAAACCCTGGATATGTTCTGTCTGTTAACAGTATCTTTGTTTCCCTGGGCACCATAGACCACATCTGACAGACTATGTGATTGATAGTGAAAACCCTTGAAGTTATGGGGTATTGACTTGACTTCTGGAGAGGCCAGAGACTAAGGTTAGCCATGTGGATGGTCAGTTATGCCTATGTGACCGACCCCCAATAAAAGTCTGGACAGCACAGCTTGTAGGTTGGTACCACTCTGTGCATGTGTACAGTGTTGTTGGTGCCCATCACTGCTGGGAAAATCCAGCTCTGTCTGTGACTTCAATGGGCAAGGACAACTGGGAGCTTGCATCTGGATTCACCTCGGCCCTGCCTCATACATCACTTTCCTTTGCTCATTTTAATCTGTATCTTTTCACCATAATCAATCATAGCTGTGATGATTACAGCTTTCATTAGCTCTGTGAGTCCTGTGAACAAATCATTGGTTTGTGGTTGTTGTTGGGCACCGTTGAGTCAGTTTGGACTCATGGAGACTCCATGTGATGGAGTACACCCGCCCCAGAGGTTTTCTTGAGCTACGATCTTTATGCGAGCTAGCAGACTGCCTGGTCTTCCTCCCAAGAACGACTGGATGGGTTCTGAATTCCTATTCTTAGTTAGCAGCCAAGCGCTTAACCGCTGGGTCACCAGGGCTCCCAAACTGTAGGGATGTTTTAGGGTACCCAGGATCAAATTCTAGCTCTGCTACCTACAGGCTATGCAAAAGAGCAAGAACAGTGTCTCTCTGGCCTCATTCTTCAACTGCAAGAGAGGCAAGGCCTATCTGAAAGCATTATTACCTGAGGATCCCACAGGTGATACCCTTAGCCCTGCCCTGGCACACAACAATGCTTTCTCAGCCCCCAGCACCAGCTTCCTAGTGTAAAGATGTCCTCACCCCTACTGCCTGCTAGCTTTGCAATCTTGGGCAAGTCACTGCTCCCTTACGAGCCTCGGTTTCCCCATGGTACATGGGGATTATACATACCCCAAAGGGTTGCTGTGCATGGTCCATGGAATATGCAAAGTATCTTTTGCTTAGAGGGGACAGCAAGTGTATGTGAATGGTGGTGGGATCATTTGGCAAAGGCTAGCAAGAATAGATGCGCAACTTCAAGAATGTCATTAATAGCATGGAATCGTACACACAGGGATGGCTGAATGGGTGTATGTTTTATTGCATATATTTTCACCACGATAGAAAAAACAAATCATGCTAAAAATATAAGCGAAGTATTTCACATGCTACCGGGAACACAATAGGCACTCAATAAATATGCCCCAACATTTATTGAATGGTGGCTGTGTGCCTGATATATAGTTCTAAGCACTTGTTGTTGTTGTGAAGTGCTGTCGAGTCAGTTCCAACCCACAGCAACCCTATATAGGGTTTTCAAGGAGCAGCTGGTGAGCTTGAACCACCGACCTTGCAGTTCAAATGGCTTTGCAGTCTGGCGCATTAACCCACAGTGCCACACCAGGACTCTAAGCACTTGTACATGTGTTGTATCATTAGGGTCTCAGCTGCCCTATGAAATGGTCATTTTTTATTATCCATCCCCAGTGGTAGGACAAACACAAGTGCTAACAACCAGATCAGACTCATAAGCCACTCCTCAGAAATCCTATATAGGGTCATTATGAGTCCACACTGAGTCAATGGTACACGAAACAACATCCCATTTTTCAGATGAAGAAACTGAGGCACAGAAGAAGACTCACTTGCTTCAGGCCACTTAGTTAGCAAGTGGCGGAAGTGAGATGTGAATCCAGACAGTCCAACTCCAGAGCCTGTGCACTTAGTTCTTCATGATGCATAAAGATGTCTGAAGGGGACTCACAGGGCAAAACCCAAAAGATCCCAAAGTCTCAGATCACAAACTAGTCGACAGGACTAAGAGCCTATATGAGCCACGACCTTGTTGATTCTGAGACCAGAAGAACTAGATAGATGATGCCCAACTACCACACCTGCAGTTCTGGAGTGATCTGAGAAAATGGGAGAAAAATACGAGCAGAATTCAAATTCTTCAACAACAACAAAAAAGTCCATACTTACTGGACCAGTTGGGACTGGAGGACTACTGTCCTGAGACATACTTTAATCCAAACTATTCCCCGAGGTCACCTTTTAGTGAAATAACAGATTGGCACACAGAGCAAAAGAACAATCAACGCGAGACCAAAAGATCAACAATTCTCTACAGCAAAATGAGAAGGGGCAAGGAAACTAGAGTACCGCAAACGGAACAACCAGGATGCAATGAAACAGAGCGCTGACAAGTTATAAAATGGTAACTAATGTCACTGAACAATGTGTATGCTGTTGTTGTTGTTGTGTGCCGTGGAGTTGGTTCTGACTCATAGTGACCCTGTATAGGGTTTCCGAGGCTGTAAATCTTTACGGGAGCAGAAAGCCTCATCTTTCTCCCACGGAACAGCTGGTAGTTTCGAACTGCTGACCATGAGATTAGCAGCCCCATTCATAATCACTACGCTACCAGAGCTCCTTCGAACAATGTGTATAGAAATCGTCAAATGGGGCCCTCATTTTCTGTATAACCTCCCACTGAAAAATGTAATGAAGGTATTATTAAAAAAAGATCAAGTGTCAAAGGAATCACATAAATCCTTCGCCTTAGATCAGAGGTTTAAGGAACCAGCAGCAGGACTGGCCCCACAGAGAACAAACCACTGAAGCCCTGGAGATCACCATGCAGGAGACTGGCTGGGATGACGGGGGTGCTGACCTGCATCTGGACCCCGGGGGTAGCCTCGGATCCGCAGGTCGTTGAACTCCTGGCACCTGTCATTGGTGTCCGCGTCTCGGACCCTCGCACAGAGTTCTGAGACCAGGATAAGTGCCCGCCGGCAGAGGTCATCTTCGTAGTCTCCCGACATGATGGCCGGCAGGTCCTATGTGTGGGAAGGCCCCAGCAAGGGTGGAGGTCAATAGAGAGTACAATGAGGGAGAGGGGGTGGGTGGGCACAGAGATAAGAGGTTGGAAAGGTAGGCAAGGGGACAGAGATTAGCGGTAGGTGGCCTAGGAAGTGGACATCTGGGGTAGACGGGCAGAGGTGACAGAGGTTCGAGGAAGGAAGACAAGAGGACAAAAGTTAGGGATTGATGGATAAGGAGATCGCAACAGGGTCGAACAAACAAGTGGGCAAAGAATGACATGAATGTGCAATGGGACAGAGAATAGGCACCAATGGACAAGGGAGAAGAGATTAGGATTAAGTCCATTTAAGGGATTATGATGAAAGATGCATAGAGAAAGGAATGGGCAGACAAGAAGACCAAGATTAGAGGTGCACAGATAAAGGAGCAGACTTTAGGATGGGTAACTAGTTGACAGACATTCATCATCCATTCATTCAGCAAATATCAACATTTAGTGTTAACTGCATTACAGGTAACATTCTGGCTGTTGTAGATAGCAGCAGCATGCATACACACACGTTCTCTGACTTTTGGTGTCACAATCCAGTGAGAGGTCCTCCCAGGACCTAGGCAACAAAGTGTAGACAGGCAAACAGATACAAACAAAATACTCTCAAACAGTGAAAAGTGCTTTGAAAGCTGTGTTACCAAGGGATTGGGATGGTCAACGGGGGCTCTCTGAAGCCCAAAGGAAGAGATGGAAATAGTCAGGGGTAGTGGGGGTGGGTTAGAGAAAAGCATTCCAAGTCTCAGGAACAGCATGAGCAGGTATTTCAGGTGGGAAAGGACTTAGAGAATCTGTGGAATGGGAAGGAGGCCAGGTTGTGGGAGAGAGAGGACTAGGAAAGAGATGCAGATAATAGAGAGAAGAGATGGACGAGTCTTCTCCATCCTGGAGATGGAGAGGAAGCAGGATAGAGAGATAGGGACCAAGTTGAGGGAGAGAGCAATGGGGAGCAGGAACAGAGATGATGGGAAGAGCCAGCTGGGCCCAGGAGGGAGGAACAGATGAACAGACAGATGGTAAGTCCGGGATTGAGATTTGGGATGGACTGCCATCAGGAATCGGCTGGTGTATATTATTCATGTGGATGAAAAGGATGAGTGGACAGAGGGGAAACAACGAGGGGCTGGACAGTGGTATCTTTGCGGGAGAAACAGTGGACAGGAGAATGGTGGGGGGCAGACAACTGATAGCCAGATACCACAGATGGACAAAGAGCTAGAGAGAAGGAGGACTGGGCATGCTGATGTGGGTCAAGATAGGAAGGCTAGATGGGGGACCAGGAGAGAGGACTGCGGAGAGGAGAAATGGGGGGCACATGGTTTTGGGCCAGACATCACAGATAGGTTGGAAGTGGGGGTGCTGGGGAAACGGGACAGACTGATCCAGGAGTGGACAGGTGTCTTAGGGGGTCCTCACGAAGGCCAGGATTCTGAGACAGAAGTGGTCAGACTCACCTGCTCTTATCCCTGCCGTGTCCTGGGTGGCAGCGGATGCAGCGGCAGAAGGTAGCCCATGGGGGTTGTAGGACAGACAAGGGGGTGAGGACTCGTCCCCACACGCCGGGGGTGAGAGGGGGTGTAGTATCTGGGGACAGTGGACGGGAGAAAATGCTCAGTCCGAGCCTCACATCTTGCCCTACCCGGGTCAGTTGTCCGACCTCAGGCGGTTCCCCCCGACCCCAGGAGGCGGGGGGCAGTCACCCCCTCCCACCTCCGGGCCCCCAGCTCCCGTTAAGAGCTTAGAGACTACAACTCCCGACAGCCCTCGCGCTCGCGCCTCTGTGGCTTCATAGACCCGGCGCTGCAAGGCCTGCTGGGAGTTGAAGTCCTTCGTGCTTCTCTGGGCTGCAGAGAGGATGGGAATTTTTTTGGTGGTGGGGGGGTGAAGATGCCGGGGTCCCAAGGCGCTGCAAAGGGAAGGGGTCAAGGTCCGGAACCTCTAGAGGCCGCAGATTGCTATATCCGTGAAGGCAAAGGAGGGGGTAAACAGTTCCTAAGCCAGGGTACGGGTGGGCGAGGGGTGGGGTACACCCAGGTGTTTCGGGATCCCCCCTGCCAGGGCCACGTGCCCCTCCCCCGGGGTAGCCAGCGAGCGCTGCAGCACTCCCACTTCCCGGCCCGAGATCCGGGCGTCTTTGCCCCTCCCTGCGCCCCTATGGGAAGGGGCCGCCCCCCAGGACAGGGCTGGGGCGGGGGCTCTAGCAGGGGGAGGGGAGGAGCGGACTCACCCCGAGCCGCCGCCGCCGCCGCCGCAGCAGCAGCCCCGCGCGCCCGCCGCGGTGCCCGCTCGGCTCCTCCCCTCCCCCTGTCGCAGGTCCGCGGCTCCTCCCCCTGCACCCCTTTTCCCCTCCCCTCCGAACCTGCGGCCACCGGGAGGAAGGAGGGACCAAGGCGTCAGAGCCCCAGCGCTCTTCCACGGTCAAGGATCGTGTGACTCGTCGTCCCTTTCCGCCACTGGGATCCCCTCTCATCTCAGGCACAGAGGTGCGGGGCCCTAGCTCCCTCTCCTCCTAGGACCTAGGGTTCTGAGCTCCCACTCACCTCCATTCTCAGACCCTGAAGTCTGCCCGCTCCTTCCCTGGTACTCAGGAGTCCCGGTCCCCAGCCCACTCCTCCCCCAGACCCAGGAATCTAGGTCCCCAGTTCCCTTCTTCTTCCTTACACCCAGGAATAACGGACCGTCCTTCTTCAGACCTAGGAGTCCCAGCCCCTTATACCCTCACAGCCAGGACCCCCTGCCTCCAGCCTCTCTGTCCCCAGACCTAGGCTTCCCGGCCCCCAGCCCCACTGGTGGCGAGATGGGGAGCCGAGACGCAGTCAGGGAAAGGAGAATCTTAGTCAGGTGTTGCAGTGACTTGGGTTTAATCCTGCCTGGGTTTCTGCCTGAATGATCCTTGCCTCCTTGCTTAACCTCTGAGCCCCGGGTTCTTCATCTTCAACATGCAGACAGTATCTCTGTTTCCTAAGGGACCCAGAGGTTTGAAAATGCAATCAATATAGATAAGACATTAGCACTATTATAGACAAAACAACGCTTAATAAATATTTCTTGAAAGCAGCAAATAGCGGCGATTGGTCTATTAATAGCAGTTAACAATAATTGACACTCATTATGATCTGGGCAGGAGTCCTGGTGGCTCAGTTGTTAAAGTGCTCAGCCGCTAAGGAAAAGAGTAGTGTTTCCAACCCACCCATCCTCTGCTGGGAAACGATGCTGCAGTCTGCTTTCTCAGAGGTTTACAGCGTTGGAAACTCTATGGGCCAGTCCACGGCAGTGGGTGGGAATAGGATGCTCTGGGCACTTTACTAAGTGTTTTAAAAGCATTTTCCCATTTAATCTTCTCTATGAGATGGGTGCTGTTGTTGGTATTATTGTTAAGTACTGTTAGTCGGTTCCAACTCATAGCAACACTGTGTAGGGGTTTGAACAACGGGTGGGTTTGAACCACTGACCTTGTGGTTACCAGTCTAGTGATTATCCTACAGTGCCACACCAGTCCGCTGTTGCTGTTAGATGCTCATAGCAACCGCATGTGACAGAATAAAACTGTTCTGGTGTGGCACCGTAGGGTAGTTATTGGACTGCTGATTGCAAGATTGGCGGTTCAAACCCACCAGCGGCTCCTCAGAAACCCTATGCAGGGTCGCTATGACTTGGATCCAACTTAACAGCGACAACATATGCTTTTTTGGTTTTAAATAATTCACTTTATTTTTTGTTGATGTTATTGAGACTATACGTAGTAGAATACATACCAACTCAACAGCTTCTACGTGTACAATTGATTGATGTTGATTATGCTCTTCTAGATGGCGAACTGGCGACATTTTCTCCAGAAACTTTTGAGTGGTGGTTGCCAATTTGATCGTATATAGAGCACAGTGCTCACAGTTGACATCTTTTGCTAGTTAAAAAATAGTTTGGTTTTAGGAAGACTTTAGGAAAACTTAAAAGTTTAAAGCTGATTTCAAGACAATAGTTTCAGGGGGTTCTTCCAGACTTCACTAAGTCTGGATTCCATGAGAATTTTCCATTCTCCCTTTTGACCTTCTATAGAATCTTTGATCAAAGCATTCAGTGCCCATGGGGTGTCGTCAGCTGTAACCTTTTCGGGAGTTGGTGGACTGTAAATTTTTATGGGAGCAGAAAGTTTAATCTTTTTCCCTCAGAGAGGCTGGTGGATTTGAACTGCCAACCTTGTGGTTAGCAGTCCACTTGTGGTTAGCTTATCCTACCACACCACCAGAGCTCCTGTTAGGTCCTATCAAGTCAATTTAGACTCATAGCAACTGATGTACAACAGAATAAGACACTGCCCAGTCCTAGGTCATCCTCATAATCTTGCTATTTGAGCCCATTGCTGTGGCCACTGTACCAATCCATCCTGCTGGGGGTCTTCCTCTTTCTTGCTGACCTTCCACTTTACCAAGCATAATGTCATTCTCCTGGGACTGGTCCCTCCTGATAATATGTCCAAAGCATATGTGATGAAGTCTCACCATCCTCACAGAAAACTCTAAGGCGTATTCTGGCTAGTCTTTGAACACAGATATTCCTTCTTCTGACAGTCCATGGTATGTTTAACATTTTTTACCAGCGCCATAATTGAAAGGCATCGATTCTTCTTCAGTCTTATTGTCCAATTATGCTTTTGCTCTTAGGTGCTGTCAGGTCGGTTCCGACCCATAGTGACCCTATGTACAACAGACCCAAACACCAGCTAGTCCTGTGCCAACCTCTCAGTTGCTTCTATGCTTGAGCCAATTGTTGCTGCCACTGTGCCAATCCATCTTGTTGGGTGTCTCCCTCTTTTTTGCTGTCCCACCACTTTACCAGGCGTGATGTCCTTCTTCAGGGACAGAGGACCCTCATGAAATATATGCCCAAAGTATGAGAGACAAACTATGGATATCTTGGCTACTAAGGAGCATTCTGGTTGCTCTTGTTCTACTGGTAGTCCATGGTAGCTTTGATATTTTTTTTTCCAACACTATAACTCAAATGCATCAATTCTTCTGTGGTCTTCCTTATTCATTATCCAACTTTCACATGCTTATGAGGTGACTGAAAATACCATGGTTTGGGTCAGACTCACTTTAGTCTTCAAAGAGACATCTTTAGTTATTAACACTTGAAAAAGATGGGGGGGGGGTTGCTGCAGATTTATCCATTGTAATATTTTGATTTCTTGACTACTTCTTCCATGAGTGTTGATTGTGGAACCAAGTAAAATGAAATCCTTGCCATTAATCTTTTCTCCATTTATTGTGATGTGAGAATTTTTTGTTTTCTTTATGTTGTGCTGTAATCCATACTGAATGCTGTAGTCTTGTATCTTCCTCAGTAAATGCTTCAAGTTCACTGTTGTGTCCCTCATGCTTGACCTAGTGTCTGACACACATTATGGGCCACAGAGTATACTGGTTGAATGAATGATTAAATAATTGGTTAGAAAAATGGCGGTATCTACACATGTGCATATGAATAGATGATGAATGATGAAAAGATGGATGTTTGGATGGATGGATGGATGGGAACATGAATGGATAGATAATTGGGTGGATGGATGGATGAATGGGTGGATAGATTTATGGAGAGATGGATGGATGGACTGATGGATGGATGGCTTGATAGTTGAATGGATGGATAGATAGTTGGATTTGTTGTTGTCATTGTTAAGTACTATTGAGTTGGTTTCAACCCACAGCAACCCTGTATAGGGTTTCTGAGGGGCAGCTAGTGAGCTTGAAACGCTGACCTTGCAGTTCAAACAGCTTTGCAGTCTGGCGCATTAACCCACAGCACCACACCAGGACTCCAGATAGTTGGATAGATGGTGAAAAAGATGTATATTTGAGGGACAGATGATGGGATACATGGATGGATGAGTGAGTGAGTGAGTTTGCATAAATACCTAAGGATCCATGCACAAGTGTGCCTAGAAATAGATAGTGACACCTTAAAGAAATCCACACGTGTGTCAACACAGATTCACTTCTTGTCTTCGTGCTTCTCTTGGAGAGAGCAAACACTGAGATGAGATGTAAGCCAAGCTGGCCAGGGATGGGGAGACAGAGAGGCAAATCCTTCAACTAGAAATATGACCAGCCCCATCCTCACTGCAGTGCTGATATCATTTATAAAATTGAGGAAAATGCTGAGTCAAGGAGCTGTGTCCCAGGCTGGGTGCCAGGCCAAGGAAGGGGACAAGGAGAGCTAGAGAAAGATGGGGTGAGTTATAAGGAAGGCAGGTGGGGGATGAGGCAGAGAGATAAGGAAGGAGATAGAGAGAGTTGGAGGCAGCCAGAAACTGAGATGGGAAATAAAATGATGGAGACACCCAGAGAGAGAAAGAGATGGAGAAAACACACAGAAAGGTGAAGAAACACAGACAATGAGAGACAGACATACACAGAGAAAGACAAGAGACACTGTGAGGGAGAAATTAAAATTAAAATAGAGGGACACAAAGGGTACCAGAGACAGACAGGTAGAGAGAGAGAGGAAGAAAGACAAAGCCAAAAAGTGAGCGAGAGAAATGAAGACAGATTCCAGGAGGGAGAAGACTGAGGTACAGAGATGTAGGCAAATAGAGAAACTCCTCTAAGAGGGAAGAAAAAGAGTCCCAGAGACAGCTAAAGCTAGATGCAGAGATGGAAAACGGAAGTGCATTCAGCCATGCTGGGTTTAACCCAGACAGCCCTAGACAATGCCTATTGGAAGCAGTGTCATGCTCAGAGAGGGGACACATTTGCCCAAGGTGGCATAGCCTGGGCATTCTGGTGTTGACATTCAATGCTGTTCTCTTTTTCATCCTGCGATGTTACCTTGTGAGGGCCAGAAAGGACAGAGCACACAAGGTTGGGAAGTTCCCAGTGTGGATAACAGAAAGCAAGAGTCACTCCTTTATTCATTCATCAGTCACGGCCCTCAGAGATGAGTGAGCACAAGATTAGGTGGGGAAAGGAGCAGATGGAGAAGGTGCAGAGGAGGGAGAGAGAAAGCCCACTCTATAGGAGGAGATATCAGAGAGGTCTTCTTGGAGGAGTGGGCTTTGAGTTTCTTCTCAAAGATAATCTTTTAAAATCCATTTAATTGTTCATTGTGAATTGAATGAAGGTTGGCAAAGCAAATGTGTTGTCTATTTAGCAATGCAGACACACTTTTGTTTCATGTCATTGACTGCAATCCCCACCAGGTAACATCATTTATCCCACCTGCTCCCTGTGTCCCCTCTTTCTGGTCCTCCTTCTATCCTAGCCTTTCCAGCCTTCTGAACTTTGTCCTTGGGCAAATGCTGCCTTGTAAGATCTCAGATGGTTGGTGATTCTAAGGAGTGTGTATCTTCCCAGTATTTCTGTTTGCTTGTGTAGACCTATCTATTGTTTGGCTAAAAATTGATCCACGGGGGTGGAGGGTGGGGAGCTAAATTCAGTTCTAGGCCTGAAGGGTGATTAAGGGCCATAATAAGCTTATGGGTTCTGACAAGTAAACTTGGTCTTTTTAATTGATTATCCTGCCACCTAATTTTTGACTCTCCGGACTGTGTCCCTCACAATCTCTTTTTGATGATTTCTGGGTTTTGTTCCTCACTTTCCTTCCATTCTATTCAGGACTTTCTAATATGATCCCTTTGAAGGCACTCTTGAGGGCATTTAGGGCATGAAGGAATTCTCATACCCAGGAGTTGGGGACCCCAACCCCTTCCTCCCTCAGATTCAGGAGTCTGACTCCCAGACCCACCGCCCTCAGACCCACCTCCCAATGGCCCAGGAGTCAGGGCCCCCAGCCCCTCCCACCACTTAAAGGTGCCATGGCAACCAGGCCTTCTGGCCCTCTTCCCCTCCCCCACACAGAACCTAGTTTCTGTTTGAATCCTCATGCTTCTAACCAGTTCCGGAGTGAGACTGGGAAGAGCGGAGGGCAAGTGGGACCAGAAAGGGGATGACAGGGGAGAGCGGGGGTTAAATGGGATGGAAGAGGCGGTTCTGAGAGACGAGGGATGGGGATACAGGAGGAAAGGAGACCGGATAGAGGTGGGGAGAGTCCTAGGAAGGTTTACTGGTTAAGAAAAGATGATAGGGTTAGAGAGACGCACAGGAATATGAAGAGAGAGAGGGAAGACGGATTGCGGGGATGTGGGAGAAACTGACAGAGGAGACTGGTGTGATGCAGCAAGGAAAGGAGAGCGAAGTGGGGAGGAAGAGGATAGAGAAATCATGCCGAAGAGTGGAGGAGAGATGGCGAGAGAAAGGAGGGGAAGAGAAATGCGGTGTGAGAGAGAGACAGAGAGAAAGGCAAGCAGAGAGCTGGGAAGAGAATGAGGAAGCAAGCTGGAGAGAAAGCGGTGGGGAGAGAGACTCCCTGAGGCGGGGAGTGATAGAGGAAGAGACGGGGAAATGCGGAAGAAGTGACTGGCGGACACAAGGAGTCAGTGAGGTTAGGGGAACCAGGATCCCTGTGTGGTCCCAGCCTTCCAGTACGCCCATATTGTTGCCCTGGGACTTCAAAGAGAAAGAGGAGGCATCATCGGGGAGAAGGAGCTGGGACGGGTGGCCCAGTCAGAGCGCTTGTCGCCACCCGCCTGAGACATCCCCCACCCGCCTTCTCAGGATGCAGCCAGAGGTGGAGCCCTTCTATTCCTCCACCATGGGCAATCCCAGCATGCACAGGGAGGCAGGTACTGAGCATATATGTGTATGTGTGTTAATATTTCTGGCATCCATGGACTACATGGTAACCTTGGCTCACATAGTAGCCTTAAGTGAGTCACTGGTCCTCCAAATAGAGTTACTCCAAGACTATCAACCAGATTCTGGAGAGTGACCCTTAGCGTTAAACTACATTTCCCATGAGCCTCTTCAGCCTACCGGCCAATATTTAGAACCTAGACTACGTTTCCCATGAGCCTCTGGGGCCCTAACCCCTCTTCTAAGGGCCTTTCCCCACTAGACAACTATCCTCAGATTTTTCTTGTCTCTCACATTCCCCCGAAGATGCTCCTCTTCATCTTCCCCCGAAGATGCTCCTCTTCCCTGGTTCCCACCTTCGGAAGGTCCCACTGCCAACCTGGTCACTCAGCCAAACCCTCTTACCCCTGATGTTCCCTCAGTCCATCAGTCCTCTACCCCTCTCTTCCAGCTGTTCCCTTCCCCCACTCTCTTAGCCCCGCCCCTTCCTCTCTGTGACTATGACCCAGGTTCAAATTTTCTACTCTTCTGCATGGACCCTCTCAGGCCTTCATTTTCTCCTCTCCAGCTTATCCTCCGCTCAGCTCCAGAGGGGTCTTTCTGACACACAGAACTCACCCTATCTCTCCCTCTGCTCTCCCAGGATAGAGTCCCAGCCCTTCATTCTGACATTCAAGGTCTTGAATGATCCCACCCATGCTGATAACTTCGGACTCAAATGATATGGCTCCTTATGGAGTCCTGGTGTGGCGCTGTGGGTTAATGCGCCAGACTGCCAAGCCGTTGGAACTGCAAGGTTGGCGGTTCAAGCTCACCAGCGACTCCTCGGAAACCCTATACAGGGTCGCTGTGGGTGGGAAGCAACTCGACGGTACTTAACAACAACAACATGTGTACTTAGTCCTGGTGTGGCGCTGTGGGTTAATACGTTGGACTGCAAAGTTGATTTGAACCTCAAGGTCTGCGGTTCAAGCTCATCAGGCTGGCTCCTTGGAAACCCTATACAGGGTCACTATAGGCCAGAACCAACTCGATGGGACTTAACAACAGCAACAATGTGTCCTTATCCATTGGACACTCATTCAACATTTATTGAGTAATGTCTCAGTGAGGGTGCATTTGGGTGCAGGTAATGGATTAGTAAAAGAATGAACAAATCTCTCTTGGAAGAAGTACAGCCAGAATTCTCCTTTGAAGGCAGGATAGTGAGACTTCATCTCACATATCTTGAATATGTTATCTAGGAAACCAGTCCTTGGAGAAGGAGGACATCATGCTTGGTAAAGTAGAGGGTCACTGAAAACGAGAAGACTCTTACGGAGCTGGAGTGACAAAGTGGCTGCAACAATCCGGTTCCTGAGATTGTTGGATTCAAACATAGCAACGCTTGTGAGGGCGCAGGGCAGGGCCATGCTTTGTGTTGTAGTTGACAGAGGACCACTGAGTTGGAACTGACTTGATGCCACTTAACAACATAACAGTAACAATAGAAAACTAAGGAGCTCTGCTGGCATTAGGGTTATGTGATAGACTGCCAACTAAAAGTTTGGTGGTCCAATCCCACCCAGCTGCTCTGCAGGCAAAAGACCTGGTGACCTGCTTCTGTAAAGACTGTATCCTAGGAGTTCCATTCCGTTACATGGGATCCTATGAGTTGGAAATGGACTCAACACTTACCTAGCAACAACAACAATAGAAAACTAGACTTAGTATTGGTATTAAGAATAGGAAAATTGTGTCACCCAGAAAGAAGCCCAGAGACTGATCAGGGGCTGGATTTGGTTCAGTCCACACCTCAATGATGCCACTGAAGTCTCAGTTTTTTATAAAAAACTCCTCCTGGCTTTTGATCCATGATGTGTCACCTTGCATGTCAGTTTGCTTACCTCATAGTCACAAGATGGCTGCCGCAGTTTCAGGTACCACCTCCAGAGGGCTCCATCTTACAAGGTGGCCTCTCCTTGCATCCTCTTGGACAGTACTCAGTCACCTGCCCACTCCTAAACCAATCACCAATCCCTGGCATGACGAATAGGATTATCGTGATGAAGTGCTCCTCAACTCCGGTTATACATCAGATGGTACGCTTAAAAAAAAAAAAAAATGACCCCACCTCAGACCCAACTGGATCAGAACCGCTGGAACTGGCCGGGTATCTGTATTCCTTGAATGTGTGCCAGGTGATTTTGACGAATAGTGAGGGCTGGGAGGCATTGAATTCCACTGGCTGGGCTATCCCTAAGGGAACAGGGCATGGGTGAGCATCCTCTGAATCACAAGGGGAGTGAAATGGACCTTCCCCAAATGGGGGAAGAAGAATGGAAATGACTATAGGGTCAGTCCCCATCTCCCAGAGAGTGGCACAGCTGCCATAATGGTAAAGCCCTGAATTACTAACTGAATGATTGGTAGTTCGAACCCACCCAGCATCTCCATGGAAGAAAAACCAAATGATTTGCTTCTGTAAATATTACAGCCTAAAAAACCCTATTGGGGAGTTCTACTCTGCCCACTGGAGTCGCTGGGGGTGAAAACAGACTCAATGGCACCCAGTGACAACATCCTAAGCACAGCAAACACCCCAATAGTGAAATAGACACCACATCTCTGAGAACATTTAGTGCCTTTGACCAAAACCCCAAACCCAAACTCATGGCTGTTGACTTCATTCTGATTCCTAGCGACCTTATAGGAAACCCTATGGTGGTGGTGGTTATGTGCCGTGGAGTCGGTTCTGACTCATAGCGACCCTGTGCAGGGTTTCTGAGGCTGTAAATCTTTACGGGAGCAGAAAGCTTCATCTTTCTCCCACTGAACAGTGGGTAGTTTCGAACTGCTGACCTTGAGGTTCGTAGCCCGATTCGTAACCACTACGCTACGAGAGCTTTTTGGAAACCCTATACAGGGTGGCTGTGAGGTGGAACCGACTCCATGGCACACAACCACCACTAACCACCATTCTACACCATCTCCAACCTAGACAGAGGTACCCACATAGCAGTTGGCCAGGTTTGTAGACCACCTTCTAGTCAACAGTTGTTGATTTCAGTTTGGGGCAGGTATTTGGGGGGGGGGCGTGGATAGGAGTAAGGAGTTAGGGTTAGGACTATGGCTAGGTCTAGGCTAAGCCTACAACTTTGTCTAGTGTTAGAAGCATGGTGAGGACTAGGGTTTTTGTTAGGGGCAGGGGTTGGGCTACGTCTAGGAGTAGTTTTAAGTTTACTGTTAGGTTTCTTTTTCTTTCTTTCTTTCTTTCTTCTTGATGTCCTCTTCATTTGGAAGTTCTTTTATATTAGTCCCTCTTTTTACTTTATGTGGTTTTTGTTGTTGCAAACTGGTATCTCTGGTTCCCTATTTTCAGTCTTATAGGTTTGTTTTTACTTTGAATACTTCTACATGGGGGTTGGAGGAGCTCCGGTAGCATAGTGATTACGAATCGGGCTGCGAACCGCAAGGTCAGCAGTTCGAAACTACCAGCTGCTCCACGGGAGAAAGATGAGGCTTTCTGCTCCCTTAAAGATTTACAGCCTCCCTCGGAAACCCTGTTCAGGGTCGCTATGGGTCGGAACTGACTCAACGGCACTTAACAACAACACATGGGGTGGGGAGTGAGGAGCTTGGTAGCACAGTGATTACAAGTTGGACTGCGAACCTCAAGGTCAGCAGTTCGAAACTACTAGCTGTTCCACAGGAGAAAGATGAGACTTTCTGATCCCATAAAGATTTGCAGCCTCAGACACCCTCCCTGTATAGGGTGGCTATGAGTCAGAACCGGCTCCACGCACACAACCACCACCAACCTTATGGGGAAGTGTGGTGGCTCTGGATGATAAGTACTGGTTTGCCAATCACAAGGTCAGCGATTTGAGTCTACCAGTCATTGTCGGAGAAAGATGAGTAGGAGTAGAAACCCTATACAGGGTCACTGTGAATCACAACTGGCTGGATGGCGCTTACCAACAAGAGCATCGGGCTGAACTCTGAATACCCTCGTCATGTGTGTTGTTAGCCTCAGGTTGTTGTTAGCTGTTGTTGGTTCTCTGTCCAAAGAACTCCCGTTAGCATTGTTTTGGGTGAGATTTGCCTGGTTTTTACAACTTCTTTTAATTTTTGTTTGTCTGGAAATGTCCTGATTTCAACATTCTATTTGATGGACAATTTTGCTGGATATATGATTCTTGGTTGGCAATTTCTTTTATTTCAGAGTTTTATATATGTAATTCCATTGTCTTCTTGCCTGCGTGGTTTCTGCTGAGAAATCGCAGCTTAATCTTATTAATTCTCCTTTGTAGGTAACTTTTCACTTTTCCTGAGCTGTTCCCAGGACTTTTTCCTTGTCTATGGTTTTGAAAACTCTTTTTGGGTTTAATCTTGTTTGAAGTTCATTCAACTTCTGAATATATATCTTCTCAGCTTTTTTCCCAACAATTCTTTGACAATTTTCTCCATTTTTTTTTTCAGTCTCTTTCTGTTCTAGAATTCCAATAAGCTATCCCTCTTGATAGTGTCTCACATAAATCTTAGACTTTCTTTGGATTTTCAGGGTTTTTTTAAATTGTTCTTCTGGCAGATGAATACTGAGAGATTTGTCTTCCAGTCCACTAATTTGTCTTCTGACTGATTCAATTCTACTTCTTTGTCCCTTCAACGTATTATCTATTTTCGAAGTCTTAGTATTCATCTTCTGACTTTTTGTTGTTGTTAAGTGCCATTGAGTCGGTTCCGACCCATAGCAACCCTTTACAGGGTTTCCGAGGCTGTAAATCTTTACGGGAGCAGAAAGCCTCATCTTTCTCCCGCGGAGCAGCTGGTAGTTTCGAACTACCTTAAGGCTCACAGCCCGATTCGTTTTGTATGGTTTCCAATTTTTCATTTATTTTGTCAATTTGTTCTTGTCGATTTTTCCTGAATTCCTCTAGTTTTATCTGTGTCTCCTTTGATTTCACCTAGAATTTTCTTAATCATTCTCTCAAATCATTGAAAGTATCTAAATATAATAATAAAAAAAAATTCCTTGTCATGTAGTTCCAATGCCACTTATGGTATTATATTTTTCTGACTGTATTTTGGTCACTTGTTTCTTTGTGTATGTTGAAATTGTTTGTTGTCTCTGAGACATTGTGGCATCATTGTGTTTCTATTTAATTGATGATTGTGTGTTGGTGTGTTCTCAGGCACTCACCACTTGTCTTCTGGTGGATGTGATGTTGTTGTTAAGTGCCATCGATTTGGTGCTGACCCATAGTGACCCTGTATAGGGTTTCCGAGAAGCAACTGGTGAGCTTGAACCATTGACCTTGCAGTTCAAACTGACTTTGCAGCCCAGCACGTTAACCCGCAGTGCTCACCAGGACTTTAGTGGATGCGATAGAGGCTAGAAATGTGAACACAATTCTCTGTTGGCTGTTTGTGTAGCATAGCTCAGGGCGGGTTTATGCACCTCCAGATTTGGAGATGGTATGTCTAGCACCCAACCCCAGGCAGAGCAGAGGCAGGAGAGGTGTCATTGACTGATGGGTTGGTCACACCCTCACCTACCTCAAGGAACAAGGGAGAACCACACCCCACTTCCCACCAACATCCAGCCTCATCCTGTGCCTCCAGGCTGCTGTATGGACAGTTGTCACAAAAGCTCAAGGTGCCCACTTGGCTCCAGGCTAGCCAACAGCCCCCTGCTTTACTTCTCTCTCTCTGCTCCTTTTCCACTTTCAGTCTACCTCTCTGTCTTATCCTCTGAAGCTCAGGGCTCCGGGATCACCATCCGCATCTGTTTCACGTAGTCTCCCATGTCTTTGTTGCCAAAGGGTCTGCTCTGACTGAGCATCTGCCTACTCTGCCATCTTGCCCCGGAAGCTTGATTTCATTTTTTGCTCTTTTCCTTGGAACCCACAATGCATTTAATTCCTTAGGTTGCAAACTGCTGCATAGGTTGTTAGAAAGCTAATGGGTCCCAAGTATTTTGCCTTTGGTGCCTAATGGATGAAATGACCCAGCTTGCTCAAATGCAAGGAGGGCAGACACAAAACACACCACCTCACAAATAATTAATAACCTACTGCTGCAATAAGCATTTCTGAGTCTTGGAGCTGAAAAGAGTGGAGCATTGGGAAGTTCCTACATCCGACCATGTTCTAGTCTGCAAAAAGACTCTTACTGTACTGGTCTCTCTCTCTTTTTTTGCATGAAACGCTGTCATCTTGGTCAAACTCCTCCTCGTCCTGTAAGTCCTACTACAGACATCACCTCCTCTGAGTAGTCTTCCAGGATTGCTCCAGGTTGGGATTTCTTTCTATACCATGATGTGTCTACTACATCATGTTGCTCTTCATAAGCTGCCTCCCACACTGACGGGGCGCTCCCTGAGGGCACAAGCAGATATTATTCATCTTTTGGTCCCCAGCTTCTTCCAAAGCACACAGGAAGCCTGGGCAAGTTTGAAATTGATGGGATTTACTCAGTAAGTCAATACTTACTGTGTATACTTACTTAAAAAAATATGTATATATATAATTTTTTGGAGAAAATAAACACAGCAAAATCTGCTTCCATTCAGGTTTCTAGATATGCGAGTCAGTGTTATTGACTGCATTCTTCACATTATGCCAACTATCTCATTTCTATTCTAATAATTTCCCTCCCATTGATTTATCAAACTCCTGGACACCCTACCCCAACCTTCTCATCTGTGCTGTCAAATAGCTGCTACTCATTTCATTTTTTTTTTTTAAGAAGATAATACTCAAGAGTAAAAGTCTTTACTTTTTGAGCTAAACTGTGACTTAGTCTAAAGGTGACTTCAGGGAACAGTTTCAATTCAAGGTTTGAGGAGTAAGAGCAATAGTCCACCAGGCTCAATAGATCCTATAAGTCTAGATTCTTCTCTAAGAAGTTGCAGTTCTTCAAAATCATAAAGAAATGTCCAGGCTTACTGGTCAGATAGAGACTATGGCCTTTAGTCATCTTTGGGGCTGGAACTGAACTCATCCCTGTGACTCAATTTTTAACCAAACAATAGACATGTTTATAAGGGGGGAACAGTACCATTAGGGAGGTATGCACACCTTAGAGTAATTGAGATCAAAAGGGCAGCATTTACCCAAGGACAAAGAGGGCTAGGGAACAATGAGGAATGAAAACAGGAGACAAGTGAGGTTTCAATATGGGGACTGCAATCAACGAGAGGAAACAAAATGTGTATGAATTGTAGACTGGGAAGTTGATTTGCTCTGGAAACCTTCACCAGTTCACAATCGAAAAACAAAACAAAGAAAGAATTTGCAGTTGTGTTCCGCATTTTTTTCTCCCTTTCCATCTATTGTGTCCCTTGATGATGTTGTTGTTGAGTGCCGTCGAGTAGGTTCCGACTCATAGCGACCCTGTACAAGGTTTCTGAGGCTGTAAATCTTTACGGGAGCAGAACGCCTCATCTTTCTCCCCTGGAACCGCTGGTAGTTTCGAACTGCTGATCTTGTGGTTGGCAGCCTGACTTGTAACCACTACGCTACCAGAGTGCCCTTGATACATTCTTCGATTTTAATGGATACTTTTATTCATTTAGTTACACATATCCATTTAAGTGCATATATTATAATCACGGTTGCAATTTAGAAATACTTTTGATTTCTAATGTCACATTTCATGACACATTTTGTACACATTTTCCACACACATGCTGCTCACTTTTCCTGTCACTTAACACACTTATCCAGCGCACATCATTTAATGTACATGTTACTTAAGCCCTTGTTATTTGTACTTAGCTTGCATGCTAACTATAAGACAGGTACACCAGTTGCTCCTCAAGAGAAAGATGGGGAAATACATTTCTCTGTTCCCTACTTTCCATCTGCTTCTCCCAGGCAGCTGGTGAGATGTTTTTGTTTTTTAAGTGACATTTCATTGTGTTTTCATTGAGGGTGTGCAGAGCAGTTTTGGTCCCCATTCAACAATTTTTACACAAGGTGTTTAGTGGCCTTGGTCAGATGGGGCGGTCTCCTTCCATAAACATTACAGCTTTGGAAACCGTCCGGAGCTGTTCCAGTCTGTTCTAGAGGATTGCTGTGAGTTGGAATAGACTCAACAGGAAGATGAACTTAGTTTGATCTTGTGAGCGAGCAGGTCAGTGCTTCTTCCTAATAAGCCCCCACGATCATCCTATGTCCTGTGAGAAAATCTGTCTAAATTGGATGCAGTGAGGAAGCAGGTCATGTCTGTGACTGGGCACCTTGATTTTATCCCAAGGTGGTGGTTGTTGTCGTGAAGTGCCGTCGAGTCGGTTCCAACCCATCGTGACCCTGTGTAGGGTTTCCGAAGAAAGCAATTGGGCTAATGCTATGTTTGGTCAAGAATCTGCCATTGAAGTTCTGAGTGGAATGAATGGATGAATGGTTTACCAGTGGGTGTGGTTAAGTGGATTCCAACTCACGGCAACCCCATATGACCAAGTAGAACCGCCCCATATGATTTCTTAGACTGTCATCTTAGTCACTTTGAGGTATTTGCAGTCTTGGTGTGGCACTGTAGGCTAATGAATCAGCCTGTAAAATTGTTTGAACTGCAAGGTCGATGGTTCAAGCTCAGCAGCTGCTCCTTGGAAACCGTATACACGGTTGCTATGGGTGTCCACTAGATGGCACTTATCAGTAGCATATGCGTGTGAAAGCTGGACAGTGAGTAAGGAAGACTGGAGAAGAATCAATCATATTAGAATTAATGGTGTTGGAGAAGAATACCGAAAGTACCATGGCACAGCCATAGAACAAACAAATCTGTTTTGAGAAAAGGTCTTCCAGAATGCTCCTTCGAAACAAGGGTGGTGAGATTTGATCTCTCATACTTGGGACATGTTGTCAGGAGGGACCAGTTCCTGGTTGGTAAAGCAAAGGGTCATGGAAAAAGAGGAAGCTCCCCAACAAGATGGATGGATAGGTGGCTGCAACAATGAACTCACACATAACTGTGGGGATAGCAGGTTCTGTTGTGTGCAGGGCCGTTATGAGTCAGAACCGACTGAACTCTACGGCACCTAACAAAAACATCACAACCGTGTTCTAGGTGCTGATTGTTGCGTCTTTCCTCCCTCGGAGCTGTTGGGTGGGTTTGAACAGCCGACTTTGTAGTTAGCAGCCGAGTGCTGAACTGTTAAGCTATGAGGACTTGGTCATTTTCTTGCTATGCTGAGATGGGACTCTGGAGCACTTGCGTTCTTGCCTTTGGGCTGTAGAATAAGCATGGGGCCTCAAGTGGGTTTGAGCCGCTCCTCAGAAACCTGTACAGGGTCGCTATGAGTCGGTACCAACTCCACAGCACTTAACAACTGCAACACGTGTTCAGGACGCTAACACTGGCTTCTCCATCCTTCCCAGGAGTCCTCCTTGTGGACCCTGAGACTCCAGAGGAGACGCGGACCCGCTGCGTGAGCAGGCCCACCAAATCCTCGTGAGTGGTCCCCCTGCCCTAGGCCCCCTGACTCAGCTCCCCCTAATGCTGACAACAACGACCCCCCCTGCGCGTTCGCTCTTGTCCCAGGAAGCAGCATTTGCGGCAGGTTATTGCAGAATATGAAGCCCTGGACCGCGAGCTCCCGTGCATTCGGAAGTTCCCCACGCCGCCCGCCGCCCAGCCCCTGTGCCTGTGCATGGAGACCCTGGTGAGGAGCCCTGGGTCTGCGGTCTCCGGGTTGGGGGAGGGGGAGGTTGAGCGCAGGCGCAGAGCGAGCTGAGCTGACTGGGTTGAAATCTGGCCTCTGTGGTTTACCAGCTGTGGGTCTGGCACAGGGTCAGTTGGCTAGAAATTGATTATGTTTGTCAGAGAGTCAAATTGTCAAGTTTATCACTGCCAATCCCAGAGAGGGGGCTGAGGGGTAGGGACGGGAGAACTGAGGGGCCAGAGCGGGGGCTACTGAGGGGCAGAGGGGCCACTGAGGGACAAGGAGGGGGACTGAGGGGCAGGAAGAAGGGAGACTTAGGGGACTGAAGGGCAGGAGGGGGACTGAGGGGCAGAGAGGGGGGACTAAGTGGCAGGGAGGGGAGACTGGGGCAGAGAGGGGCTGAAGATGGGGGACTACGGGGTAGTGAGGGGGAAGATTGAGTGGCAGGGAGAAGGGATCAAGAAATGGAGATGGAGGTTGAGGATCAGAGAGTGGGAGAGACTGAGGACAAATTGTTAAGTGCTGTCGAGTGGGTTCCAACTAATAGCGACCCTGTATTGGGTTTCCCAGGAACGTTTGGTGAGCTTGAAACCCCGACCTTGCGGTTCAAAACGACATTTCAGTCCAGCACATTAACCCGCAGCACCACACCAGGACTCCGTAACAGGACAAATAGGTTAATGCACTGGATAGCAAAGTCGGTTTGAACCTCAAGGTCGGCGGTTCAAGGTCACCAGCCGCTCCTTGGAAACCCACCCAATACAAAGTCGCTATGAGTCAGAATCAACTCGATGACACTTAACAATATGATCACACACTTCGTGTGGCAGTGTAAGTTAAGCAGTGAACTGCTAACCACAAGATTGCCTCTCCTCAGAAACCATGTACAGGGTCACTATGAGTCAGAACCAATTAGATGGCTCTTAACAACAGCAACAACCAAATATGAAGGAAGTCCCTGATTAAGCATTGGGCTGCTAAGGGCCAGGTTGGGGGTTCAAACCCACCAGTCACTCTTGGGGAGAAGATAAGGCTGTCTGATCTACCATCTTGGAAACTCTAGGGAATAATTCTACTCTGCTCTATAGAGTTGTTATAAGTTGAAATTGACTCTATGGCAGTGGTTAGAATTATGACAATTGTATGTTACCTTCCACATACTAATATCCTGCTAAGAATATGACTAATGATGATTCATATATATA